GTGCGGCCGGCTGACCATTTACTGCAGAGCAGCAGCAGACAGGGTGCTTTTAATCTAACAGCTGTTCAAACCACAAACTCACATCTGCACAGTTTTGATTGGTTTCCAATGAGAATTGCACTGAGCAACAATCCCTGTGTTACAACCACTTCCTTTAAAAAAGCCTTTCACGGATAGAAACTAACTGACAATTAAAAACCGCGCTGGAAATGAAACTCTGAATGAAATGAAAATGAAAAAAGTTCTCTGAGTTAACAATGACAAGCAGGTGCTTCATCCACCTTGTTAACGTTCTCTTTATCTATAAACAGAGGGAATCTGTCTGTTTTGATTTTCTCAAAAACTGTTCATCTGATTGACAAACCCAAGGAAGTGTTGTTAAAGTTTTTAGGGTTGAGCGATTGTCAAGAAAATTCAACAGAAAAATGTTCCTCCATTTATTTAAAACTGCACTGGCTGTTATCGTGGTAACCTTGTTATCTTTTTGATTGAGATATAACCTTTTGATGATGTCAAAGTTTGACAGGCACTACCCTAGGGGAAGAAAGAACATGTTAGGCTACCTGCGTCAATAATATGAGATTTACATTAAAGCTCCTCTGCTCTGAATGTGCACCCAGCCACATCCCACAGAAATGATGCATGGCCTAATTGTGTCAAATCTATTTTAACCCAGCCTTCTCCTATGATGGCTTCACTGGATCACTGACTCATGGTCACTGCACCCACCCTTCACCTCGACTGATGAGAGCTGGCACTGTACCACCAACATTACATCAGTGCTCTCAGCGTGAGCCGCGTCCGTTCATGCTTTCACAGAGTCCTTGGCCTTCCGTCCTCCTCTGCCATTTCAAACCCCATCAGCATTTGACAAAGACAGACAAATGCACTTTGAGCAGAAAGTAGTGTGAATCACGCAGTAACAAAATGGTTTGGAATATGTCAAATACATTTCCAAAGGGAGAGGCCACATTGAAGATCAGCATTATTCCTGAGGAAAATCTAGAGAAAGGCAGAGATGGAGGTTGCCTTGTCAGTAAATACCATGAAAATGTCAATGCAGTAACTGTGCCTCTCAAAGGTCTTATCTAAAAAAGGTATTTTCCTGATTCTAATGGTGAGCAATGCTGAATTATATACAGGGAACTAGCTGTAATCTAATAAGGCTGCAGATAATGAGCCAGGCTGTCTCTAACCTGTTCAATGGAGGAGTATTGTCCTGTGTTCTGCTTGCAAACTTGAAGGGATAGTTCACCCAAAAATGAAAATTCACTCATTATCTATTTCAGTCCTAGTGGGAAACTTGTGGGCATTGCGATCACTTGTGATAGCTGCAGTTACCACAGCAGTCACTAGGAGAAGGATAATATAGGACATTTAGGTTAAAATCACAGTGTAAATTATGCTGTTTAGAGTCAAATTTGAATGTTGGGGCTTACGGACACTGTGATGACACCACAGGAGCAGTGTGGAGGCATTTGAAGAATCTATCCCCAGTTACTTCAATTTTATCGGATTTGGCTGAAAAGCTGTTTACCTCTGAAACTCAAAAAGTGCTTTGTGGACTTAAAACACTTCACCCATCCCTCAATTGGCATAGTAGTGAGTAGATAATTAGAACTTTTAGGAACAATCTCTTTAAGGCTCAATTATACTGTCTGCCCTCTCAGTGGCATCTGCCGTATTAGAAGTGTACCACTGAGCTTTCACATTTAAAATACAGTGTTTGTTGAGGCACTTGGTAAAAATTAATTTCAGATTGTGTACATTTCCCAATGACCTCATCCCCGGACCTTTTGGAATGAAACAACTGCATTTGTTTTTCATATGTGCAGCCTCTGCAATGGGGTTTACACAGTTTTAATCTGTGGTTGTTAATGTGTGTGGGAGACAGAGCTCTCCCCTCATGGAGCCCCTTGAAAGAACTGAACCCTGCATACCACAGAGGCCACTGTGAAAAATATTTGATCAGATGATCTGATGTTCAGCCAAACATTTGATTGAACAGTAAGAATCCAGCCAGTGAAAAAGAAAACATTTCTCACTACAAAGAAAGCCATGATGAAGCAGCACAATTTGTATGCTACTTCAAGCAGGCAATTCTAAAGTCGAAAGGTTAATTTACCATTTCAAAAAGCAAGTTAGCGTGTATAATATGTGTATAAAGTATCAACAACAGTGCACTGAATTATATATACATATCAACACATGTCAAGCTAAATATAAGTGAACTTGACAACTGACATATGGTTACATAGCACCTTCATTTTCTACTTTATTTACTTTACTTATTTTCATACACACATATTCAATATAGATGAATGAATATCTCATAACTGTTTTGTTTACACAATAAGCTCATCTGCTGGTGCTGAAAGTCTCTGAATAACTTCTAAGAGGAAAACATGTTCTTAATGTGGAAACACTGTTAAGATGTGAAGGTAACACATGAACATTTAAGGTTAAATTCAGGTTTTAGAACTGTAATATTCAACATTAAAATTATTCACTTAAACTTGACTTAAAATTATTACTTCTGTAATTGGTATGACTTGGATACATTGAAAGGTGCTATATCAATCAGAATTATAATTACACTACAATAGACAAGAAAAGGGCTCAGCACTTGATTTTTCAGAATAAGAAAATCACCCAGTGTTTTGTATTTTTTATTAAATCAGGAATTTTATATTTCTCATATATTCATATATAAATAAAAAATTCGACCTTATGTAGATAAAATGTCGCAGATTTTCTTATTTCAGTAATACACTGTGGCAGCAGACAAATATTAATATTCTGCTAAGGTTAGCACACTAAGCATATATTCTCTCCAAACTTCAAACTTTCTATTTTAATAGAAGCCTCAGAGGCCATGCAGATGGTTGGCAAATGTTCACAGACTGCACTACAATAAATTCAAATTAGCATAGACACAGAGATACACACAGGAGCTGAAGAAATACAGGGCAAAATATACAGAGGAATAACCCCCCCTTTATAAGAGCTTAGACAAAGGATGGAAATACAGAGATTAAAGATATGAAGACTGTGAAAAAGCAGCTGATATGCTAAATGCTTTAAACCTGTCACAAGTAATTTGGCCCTGCACATCACCCTGTCCTATTTTCTCTCTAAGTCCAGTTCCAGGTCAGTGGACACAAGTCGCACCTAATTCAGGTCATTTTCAAATCAGATAATTATTTCTTGAGCAGCATTCTCTCTGTTGTCTGAGATGTATACAGTACATAGAAATAAAACAGGACAAGACTTTACAAAAACCACAAGATTATAAACATTTATATCTGCCCATGTTCAATGAACTCCTCGACAACAGTATGTAGTGTAGACTCTGGCCACAAGGGATGTGCAATATGTCACCTCTTTGGCAATATTTAATATAAAAACGTTGAGCAATATGTCAGAGGGAAATATGTCGTCATTGTCAGCAGATGTGTACGTGAATATGTGAACTGTGGCATGTGTGTAGAAGTATTGAGAGATTTATTTTCATTTTATGTCAAATTGCAAATTTTATCTCATCTTATCTTAAATTATTATTATTTCAAAATACTACTTATTGATGCTTAAATCTATAAAAAAAGATTTGTATCTATATAATATATTTGATTTAGACTCAATTGAACATTTAGTCCGGCCATTTATGTACATATAGTTCCTTGAGAGTATCAGCTCAATTGTTTGTCCATTGTATGAAATTTAATAAATCAGACAGTAAAAATTTAATTGACACTTTTGACTTTGAACAAGTGGACATTTGAAAGTTAAGTTTGCATTTTCAATTGTTAAAACAATTTCTGTTAAATTGCAGCTGCTTTTGTCAGAACTGTATAGTCCCATTGTGTATGTAGCCTTCTCCTGTCTATGCACGAATACGTTGTTTCTATTTTCTGTTAGTGATCAGAGCCTGAGATTATATTATGTTTAGCATTACAACAACAAACTGCTGTGATTTCCGGGGCATTACATCTTATCTACATAAATCGGTCTTGTTTTAACCCATATGATCTGAAACAATCCAATGGAGATTAATATTAATACAAGAGGCAAAGACAAAGACAATTAGACGCTGAGGATTCACTAAGAAGTGGAAAGTTTGTATTCAGCTGTGGTACTCCCCAAAGATGTGAAGTGACATTTTAATTACAGCAGTGATGAAGATAAATCAGGTTCTTGTTTACTGTTGTCCTCGGTGGTCTTGCTTTTGTAATAGAACTCTTGTTACATTTGTTTTTTTCAGTAATGGGGAGCAGGACTTCTGGATGTTGAATATCGTCTTCAACAATATGATTTTGAAAAGGAGTTTCTGAATGATAATTCACAGTTCTTTACTTCCCTGCCAATTATATGCATATCAGAGCAGAACAAAACACACTCAATGCACTCTTCAGGGACTGGATTCACTTCACATTCAGATGGATATACATTTTAGGTGATGGTGCATTGTGCTCTGGATGAAAGACGGAGACGTTCTGAGATGCAGAAATTGCTGTTGATTAATTCTACTCTTACAATAACGCATTACTAGTCAGTGCTGCATACACTGGGCGTCATTTTCAAAAGCAGCCGTAGAAATGATGCTAAATACTCAGATACGCAGGAAATGTCGCGACGAAAAGCAATCAAGCAAAAGCAATCATTTCACTGGACTGACTGTGAAGTTCAGAAAACAATCTCAAAAGTCTGTACCAGAGGAAAAAGACGAGGTATTTCTCTGGAGTCGCGCTATTAGAGGGGGTTAAAGAAGGGCTGCCTTGTGAAATGAACTATCAAATGATGTAATCATGAGTGCTGCTGACCAGGCACAGTGAGTCAATGCAGGAATTAAGAGTCTGTAGTGATGAAGAAAGGACGAGGCTGTAGCAACCGAAAAGATCTTTCTCCCTCTCTCTCTCTCTTTCTCTCTAATGTACATGCACCCACAACAGACATACTGAAATGAGGGGGAATCACGTTACCAAGCATGAAAAACGTCCCACCTGCTGAAGTTGGTTCCTCACCATCTGCTGCTGTTGAGACACAGATCAGAAAAAAAGGTGGGAGGAGGAGGAGGAGGAGGAGGAGGAGGAGGAGGAGGGGGGGAGAGAGAGAGAAAAAATATATTAGTTTTATCTCAACAATGGGTCAGTGTATGTTCAGTGCTGCAGCTGCACACAACACTGCTGATTCGACGACATTATTAACTGTGCTGTGCACCACCATGTGTGCATGTTAAGGGTGCGAGCGTGCAGCATGTGAAGCCAGATGCACCTGCTACCTGTAGGGTGCAATATCCTGCCGACAGAAACAGCAACACCCCCGCCATAAAAAACGAAACCTGCCACTGTGTGGGAGCCCATCTCCCATTCATACGTTGCCACTACGCTACGTCCTGGTCGGTGGCCTCTGACTAATGTGTGTTCATCATTCTGAACCGGCCCCTGTGGCATACATGATCTCGCTTTCTGCATCCTTGGCTTTCCGAGCCCCAGTTGAGCTCCGTGACTGAGATTTGGCCTGTCCATCGCCATTACCGCAACCCTCTATCTCCATTATCGCATGTGGAATTACTTGAAAAAAATGTGCCCGAAAGCTGGACCCAGTTAGAGCGGCTAAGGCCATTAGATGCACAGGGTTAGGACGGAATTGGGGCATGAACCAGATCCATTAGAATAGGGAGGGAGGGATGGATGGATAGACAGACAGATGAATGGACAGATGGAATGATTGGTGGAATGATTGATGGACGAACATATGGACAGATAGATGGATGGATGGACAAACAAAGCCTGGACATATTGGGACTTGCTGCCTCATATTTAACATGCATGTCATTTCTCAACAGCCTAATGATGCAGCCTACTACTGAGCATGCTCACTTAATTTAAGTATGATTGAATGTCATGTACATGTTTTCATCTATGACACTGAATACTGATTATGTATTAGCATATGGAGAGCGTTAATGATACATAGATCATGAAGCAGACTGGGAGACAGTTATGGATGCCAACATTTCATGCAGCTGCAAATGCAACCAAACCCATCACAGACAACCAATCAAGTCTCATTTCCAATCTTTACACAGGAAACATGCACTGTGCAGATTTTTCTCCCCTTTACAACCTAGACAAATAAAATCACCACACAAAGTGCTCTCTGAGGGGTAAAAACTTTTTTATTACCAATGTATTTAAGGCAGTACCTTATTTCTATAGGTAGGGTTGGACTGTAATCAGTTTATCTAAAACAAAAGTACAGCACTCTTACACTCTCAAAACACAGCAAGTCAAACTTAAGACAAAACTTTAAACTCCACTCCATATTTTCTCATTCTTACTCATATTTTCGCAGCTGCAAACTGAGAGAAAAATGTTTTTTACGGACACTTTTGTGATAAACAGACAAAAAATGAAAGCGCCAAACTCTGCATTAAATGTGAGCGGAAGCTTTAGGTGAAGTCACAAGGAGCCAAAGTCTTGCACTTCCCCAACCTCTAATCTGTTTGGCAGCAGAGGCTCGGCTTTGTGTTTTCCCATGCACACGGGCCAATGTAATCCCAAAACCAAGCACATTCCACGCTTCACTTAGCTTGGTTTTCTTTCTTTCTGCCACTTTCTATCTCTCTCTCTCCTCTCTAGCCATAAGGGGTCAAGACACACACATGGAATCCCACAGACACATGCTGTCTGCAGTGTATACACACAATTACACACTCACAAAAGATAAAACAGGGAAAGACAGAAAAAAAAACATGTGCCTCCGAAGGCTGACAAAGATTCACACCCACACATAAATACACATGCTGAGAAGGTAGAGGATGAAAGGAAGTTTGTTTTGTTTTTGCTTATTCAAGTGTTGAAATGGTGAATCATATGACTGCATGAAATATACTGAGTGTTAGATGCAATATACTAGGCCGAGAAATTCTCCTCGTGGTAGACAAAACTGGCTTAAAGCTGAATTCCAGGATTGTCACACATATGAACATAAGGCCCAGGTTGAACAATACCAGAATTCCCCTTTAATCTCACATTCATGCATGTCCAGCATGAGAGGCAAATCAAATAGTGTTAGAGACCAACGTCATTACAACAACAGCAGAGGGGAAATTTTATTTAAATCATATTATAACAATAATGATTATGAATTGTTTTATACTAAGCAATATTACTTTCAATTATATTACTGATGCTTATGATTTCCTGACAAATGACCTTCTGCAGTCATGAGAGTATTTACTATTACCTCAAAGAAGTAAAAGCAGAGATTATGTGATATTTTTAGAATAAAAACTGTTGAAGGGAGAGTCGGGATGGATGGTCGGGCTAACGAGGTATGTGACTTTGACATATGAGCACAGTTCATGGACCATCTCGTTCTGACAGGCAACACTGGTTTCTCTAAACCATGACAGGTTTTCTCACCATATCTAAATAGTTTCAGTTGCCAAACCTCATCCGGATCTTAACCAAATAGCAGCCATGTGTAGTCACATGGTTAAAACACTGAAATGTGACCTTTTCGTTGTCGTGTAGTATGAAGTTTGATTGCAGTTAAGGTTTTGGTTTTCATTTAGCATTTTTTCTTTACTCTTCAGACATGATATTTTCTGTATCAGTGGATCAATAAATGGCTTCACAGGCTGGTTTTGTTCTTATCCGTCTCACTTTGCTGCTGGAGTCACTGCTACAAATACACAAAGACATAAGAACACAATATGTAACTATGCTGCAGAGAGAACAGAAGGATAAAAACAAATAAACAACGGACAGATTAACCAACAACTCCTTTATCTTGGTCACAGATTGAAATTTAACTGGTCGAAATTACAAAGCCAGATAAAAAGAGACTACTGTACTGGCATACATACAGTCAGCAATGAAAGAAAATGACCGCATGAACATGTGTGGCCTAATTTCTTCCTTTGAGCAGTAAAACGTGCTGTTCATAAAATCCTGCAAATCTAACAGATCTGAACATTTCTCTCCCCATAAAAGTCGTCATCAAAGCTAAACCAGTGTGTTTTCTCCAGCAGTGGGACTATAAACTGATCTATAATGAAAAAATTGTGATTTAATACTCATGTGTGGCCTTTTTCAGACTGTGTCTCAGAGGAAAATAATAGGATGACATAAACACTGACATCAAGGAATTACTAAAAACTAAAACCTGTGCATGTTTTCTAGGGTTTATCATACAGCAACAATATTGTATAGTTATTTTCCTAATGTTATTAAGATAGACAGGTATATATAGTCAATCTTAATGATATATTATGTTATTTCAAGTTCTTTACACACACAGAAACAAACATTACATCACATATTCCTCCAATTTGTACAACAAACACTCTACAAGCGGCTACATCTTGTGACGGCGCTAATAAATCTGTAAAACGTGGAAGGTTGTGGAGATGACTTATTCAAATTGCCCCTCCTCCTTCAAAGGAGAAGGTCCTCTCTGTTGCACGATAAGCCTCCATCCTGGGACATATTGGTTTAATCTGACTGACAGCCAGGAGACAGTAATAACCATCCATAATCTAAATGGGAACCAGCCAACCTGTCCAGCACAGGACTGATATGACCGAAAGGTGTTCGGCAGAGATAGAGGAGCCAGTGTGCAGGTAAAACAAGTACAAAACACACACCTAGAGTACACACACGTGTGCACACATGATCATGCACAGGGAGGAGAATATATATGCATATATTGAAACATACTGTATATTGAGGCATGACAGGTTTGTTGATTGATTGTTGTTTTGTCTACATTATCAAGGGATAATCTCTGAAAAAAAGTCTGTCCACAAAACCTTAATTTTACAAAATATCACTGTCCAGACAAAAGAAGCAACCGCAAAAGCTCAAACAAGCATGCCGCGTCAATAGGTGGTGATAGAGTCTACAGCAACGATCAGTTAAATACAAGAGAAGAACGCTGTGGTCCAAATAATATTGGGCAATGATGCCAGTGAATGTTGGTAGTGTAGTTCAGTAACACTCAGCTGCAAAACATAATTAGACCTAGCAGTTCTAACTATTAACGTAGGTAAACTGGTATATAGGTACTATTGTTGTTTCTGGTGCCCGCTCATGACGTCATTGTTTCCCAAATACACAGATTCAGAGACACAAGGTTTTAAAAATCTTTACATGGCAAGGAGTTTGTAAAAATCCCTGTTTTAGTGAATTAAAATGCAGTTTGCGTGTGGACGAGAGGCGCAAACGCAGAGGGAACATTTAACAACCCATTCCTATAATAAGATAAAATGTATACCAATGGGTATAGGTCAGCTAAGTCATCTAGTCATCTAACTTGTCATAGTTCTGCTACAGCAAGTTGGTGAAAATGTGTTAGGTGGCGTGTCACAGGAGTGAAAGAAATAGTCACAATAGTGTTTAATAACACTGCATCTTCAGTGCTGTTGTTCCTGAGACACAAGGCGACAAAGACCTGCAATGGATTTTCCTCATCCAACAAACATAGTAATCATCAGGCTGCAGTTTATATCATCTGTGACTGGCTCAGTGTGAATACTGGGGAAACAAGTCATCAATACCTGAGGTTAGCCTCAAAATCCAGCCACAGTATCATATCCTGCAGAGCTAAACACTGTAGTAGTTATTTTTACCACACAGTCTACTATGAGGGATGGCTATTCAAGATGTTGCACTGAGGAGTGCAGGGTTAGCAGTGAAATCTGCCTCAACAGGAACATTTCCACTTAGTTACGGCTGATCAGCAGGGCACGGATCATAGCCAGTGATCAAGAACTGATTTCCTCAGCCAATCATGTTCAATTTAGTGCAAACTTGAACTGGAATTTCAGACAAATTAGCAAATTAGAAGTCCTGCCCTTGATACATACCTGACACACATACATACAATGTGGCCTTCTAAGACCGAGCGAGTAGATTCTGTTAGTTCATCATCCACGATTTGGAGATTTATAGAGCTGATGTAAGATGTGGTAGATTTGTTTGAAGTGCCGAGGGGAAAGTGGGACACTTGAAGTGGGGTGATA